AACTAAATCTATTTAACTTATTAGAAAATGCATTAATTTGACCTAGTGAATCATAAGACATGAACAAAATGCATCAGTGATTCGTATTTTCATGAAACTTTCTGAAATGGCACAGGAATGCCTGTCTGTGTGTAGTGTGCTGTGCGTGTATGTCTACACTTTGTGTAGCCGTAAGCGATGATGCTATTAATAACCTTCTGGTAGAGATTAAAAGGCTTTCCCAAAAACGTTCTCAATGAAATGTTAGCTACAAAGTAGCCTATGCCTACCTGGCAGAATGAAATCATGATTATTTGCATCAATCCAGTGGCCATTTGTTTTTCAAACTGCAATCACATGAGCGCTACAGCAACACCGCTAACCAAACAACAGTCTCTTCCTGGTGTGCACTTGCATTAAATAGTAACTACACCCCAAAATAAAAATCCCAGACCTACCTAAAAAATGGTCTCCTGATGTGGTTTAAACATTGTCGTTTTAAATTGTTGTTTTTCTATTAAAGAAGTGTGATTTAGACAGTGAAAACCTGAAAAAAACGAGGAAAACGGTATCAGGCAAAACATTAAACCGATTTTATAGGGCCCTAGATCTGCCTGCATACACACACACACACACACACACACACATACACATTAACGCAATGTCATAAACCATCTTAAAATGCATGGCCTGTAGGCTGGCTGACAAACAATCCAGTGGAAATGTTATCTTCAAAATGACCTCCTTCTGCTCCCAGCTTGATGAAATAACACACAGCCTGAGCCCATCTCACCAACCAGCCTCACCTCATACAGTCATAAAGACAGAGAGAAGAGAGAGAGGGAGAGGAGGAATCGATAAATGAGTGGGGAAGAGAAACAGTAATGAAACAGTAACACAACTGTTTGTGTGTGTGGTTGTGTGGTGGGGGTGATTACAGTCTACATGTTGTCACACACTTTTTGGCTAGTCAACCAGATCTTATACAGTACACATCAGTCTTGTATAATAATCTCTTCATCTTATGCTATAGTGTTTCTTTCTACAGACACACATACACGTTTTTTAAACAACTAATTGACCTACATCTGTTCAATTATTTGAATTCCATTAATTTTTTAATAAAGTTTCTCTAGAGATAAGTCAGATCAAGCCCGAACTGTGCGATGTAATAGTTTCCAACAGGACGATATTCTACATAGTTTAGTGCAGAAAACGTGGTAATGAACTACAATGACCATAATCCATTGTGCGCCTACTTGTCCGGTCTCTGTGTTTATTTTACGCCTGCTACATTAGGTTAATGTGGGGCAGAGAGGGAGAGAAGAGACAGAAGAATGCGCAATGGAGAGGGATAGAGAGCAGTTGCTTCGTGAGGTAACTCTACCTAAAAACACATGATCTAAGTGATTGATAGGTATTTAGCGGTCATAAAAGTATGCCTTATTTACATTGAAGAACTACTAAAATAGTGATTTTATCAGACCGCATAGGCAGCAGCTCTATAGAGATGAGATGATGATGACTTGAAAGTCATCAAATAAAACAAATGTAATATATACAACAACTGAAATATTTTATTAAAGTAAAATAATGTGAATAAATAATGGTTAATAAGTGATATGATCTAAACCGAAAACCATGTTTATATTTTCATAATCGAACTGACCTCAAAAAGCCCTAATCGCTCAGCACTAACATACCAAATTATCACCACTGTGTGTTTGCCTATGTATGTGTGTCTATATTTTTTATTTAACTAGGCAAGTCAGTTAAGAACAAATGCTTATTTACAATGACAGCCTACCTCGGTGACGCTGGGCCAATTGTGCGCCACCCTATGGGACTCCCAATCACGGCCGGATTTTTGATATAGCCTGGAATGGAACCAGGGTCTGTAGCGACGCCTCTAGCACTGAGATGCTGTGCCTTAGACTGCTGCGCCACTCGGGAGTCCTATATGAGACTGAGCTGAAGGCTCTTTTTGTATACTGTATACCAGTTACATGCGTCAACATAGATGCCAAAAAAGACAATACATACCTTCACATTGACATCAATGCATGCCGCTGTGAGAAAAGAACATAGAATAATTACTTTTACACTTATCAATACAGTTAGCTATTATCTGTGTCAAAACACAATGTTATTTTGCTTGTTGCACCACTCAACTCAATGAAACCACACGATTATAAATTAGTCATGAATGTGATAGACATTCCAGGCTAACACCTCTACTGTGTCTGGAGCAAAAATAAAACAACTGAGAAATGATGGAGGGAAAAAGAGAGAAGACGAGGGATGGAGAATGAGAGAGGAGAAGAGCAGGTAGTATCGAACAACCACAACAAATCGCCTAGAGAAAGAGAGAGAAGAGGAAAGGGGAAATGAATGTAGAGAGTGAGCAGTAATCAGCAGCATATGCTACCAAGTTGAAGAGAGAGTGACAGAGGAAATTGGATACTGGTAAAGAGAACGAGGTGGGGGGGGACAGATGGGTGGGGAGAGGGGGTGCTGAGAGCCTGAGAAAAATATAATTAGAATTTGGTAGAGATTGTGTGTTACAGGTGGAGAGAGGGAGGTCTACCCCCTGTATACGCCCTGGAGGCTATATACCCCCTGTATATAGCCTCCCTACTGTTATTTTATTTTACTGCTACTCTTTAATTATTTTTTATTTTTAACTTATCTGTTTTGTTACTTAACACTTTTTTTTTCTTAAAACTGCATTGTTCGTTAAGGGCTTGTAAGTAAGAATTTCACTGTAGGGTGAATACCTGTTGTATTCGGCGCATGTGGCAAATAAAATGTGATTTGAGGTAGAGGTAGAGTGTATGTCAGGTAGTGAGATGTAGGGAGATATAGAGAATGAGAGAGTATGTGAGAAATATAGAGGTAGAGAGCCTGAATACCAGTGTTCAAATCCAAAGGGATAGGGGTAGAGAGATAGGCAGGGAAACGGGAATGAGCGAGACGTAGAAACAGAGGGGCATAGAGATAGTGTGTGTGCATGTGTCTGTTATTGTAGACAGAGGGAGAGACAGTGACAGTGAAGTTCAAAGAGACGTGTGTGTCTGTTAGACGACTAGTGAGAGGGAGACTGAGATAGAGAGGGAATAAGAGAGAGGTAGAAGGAGGGAGAGTCAGCTAGAGGTAGAGAAAGGTTGTCTATGTCAGTCTACGGTCCTATCTGCCGTGTTAGTCTCAGGAGGCTGTAGTCTAGAACAGCAGAAGACTCTGTGTCGTTAGTTATGCTACTAACCAGAGTGACTGGACCACCGGCTCAAGGGTGCTGTACTGTTACCGTAGTAACTGGGTTAATGGGAACATCTTGTAACAGATTGTAATGATGACTGGACCGCTGGCACCATAACCGTTCTGTCTGCTGTTACCATAGTAACAGAGTAACTGGACCACCAGCTTGGCACTGATTGTAACCGCATTAACAGGGTTAACGGGGTAAACGGGACCTCATCATGTCTGAGGGGGGTGAGGGGGTTACCGGTGCCTCCAGAGTGGGGTCCAAGAGAGCAGGGGTCCGGGCTGTGGTGGCGCTGATCGGACTGCTCTACCGCTCCAGACAACACAGAGAGAGGGAGAGAGAGCGGAAGAGAGAGGGGGAGAGGGAGGACGAGTGGTGGGTAAACTCAACTCTTCATTTCATGAAGGCGGTGTGTGAGGATGGGAGTGTGTGGGGAAAGTGTGTGTGTGCTTCTGATGAGTTGTGATCTGTGGAAGCATGTGTGTGTTTCGTGTTTGACAATGAATGTGGCAGTGATTTTTATTAGTAAGAGAGTATTTAGTGTCTTTACTGTATTTTAACTATGTTTATAGTGTAGTTGAATTGGGTCGTCGGTGTCTGTTGGAACTATGGTATAGATGGTGTGAATGGACAGCGGAAGCATAGATTCAGTGCAGAATGAAAGAGTATGTTATAGCAGTAAGACAGAAGTGTGTATGCATGCCAGTGTCTCTTGCACATGTCTTACACTTGTGCATGTCTGTGTGTATGTGGAAGAGTGCACGTTTGTTTGTGTGTCTGTGTGTAGTGATGTAAAATACTTGAAATAACTACTTAAGTCGTTTTTTGGGTGTCTGTACTTTACTTTACTATTTATATTTGGACAACTTTTACTTTTACTTCACTACATTCCTAAAGAAAATGTTTTCCCTGACACCCAAAAGTAATCGTTACATTTAGAATGCTCATGCAGGACAGCAATATGGTCCAGTTCACGCAACCTATCAATATAACATGATGTCATCCCTACTGCCTCTGACCTGGCAGACTCACTAAACACAAAAACTGTGTTTGTAAATGATGTCTGAGTGTTTTAGTGTGCCCCTGTCTGTCTGTAAATAAAAAAATAAAATACAAAAATTGTTTCGTGTGGTTTGCTTAACATAAAGATTTTGATTTATAGCATTTACTTTTTACTTTTATTCAAGTATGACAGTTTAGTACTTTTTCCACCACTGTGTGGGATTTGAGTGTGTGTGTGTGTGTGTGTGTGTTAGTCCCCTATAATAGATTAAGTGTTGCTGTCTCTTTAATAATAATAAGTCCAGTGAAGAATCTATACAGTCTATTTGCAGAGAAAGAGCTTATGAGGGATTGGCCTGGTATTTATAGAGAACAGATCATTTCTCTCTCTTTCTCTCTCTCTCTCTCTCTCTCTCTTTCTCTCTCTCTCTCGCTCTCTTTCTCTTTGAATGTCGCTTTCCCCTCTCTCTCTTTTCTCACTGTGATGATGATAACAATGGTCAAACTAGGACATATTTAATTTCTGTGTCACACAGATGTTTAGTACATAATGATTGTTGTGTGTGTTTGTAATAGCGAGAGATTGACAGAGAGGGAGAAAGAGGAGCGTTTTAAAGGTGTATGGTAGGAGTGATAACAGCTTTGTTGTTGCTGTTGTTTGTTTCAGGAAGCAGGAGAGAGAGCTGCTGACCATCTCTAACGTTCCCCTAGCAGACTGCCCCCCCTCTCCCCCGCGCACCGCACCCCCCACCATGAAGGTAACACACACACACTCACGCGCATGCGCACACACACACGCACACATACACAAAGAAACACGCACGCACGCACACACGCACGCATACACATAGAAAAACGCACGCACACACACACACACACACACACACACACACACACACACACACACACACACAAACACACACACACATACACATAGAAACACTCACACACACAGGTATAGAGAATGGAGGAGAGAGAACCAGTTTCCAATGGACTATCTGACCAACCCCAGCAGGTAGTATGACGTTTTGAATGTGTACACTTATGTAAATGTGTATCCATTATCGGCATGGCGTTCTCGACCATTGATTTCTTGTGCCACAGTATGCTGTATGTGATGATTGTGTGAGAGAGTGATGGTAAATGTGTGTTGGGTTCTGTGTGTGTGTGTGAAATCAACACTCCTAGGTATAGGCATTCATAGAAACAAACGTTACTGCTGTACAGATCCTATGTCTGTGTGTAATGTAGGAGTTGGCTGTTGTTCAGCTGAACATTTTCAACAATGTACAGATTGAATGCAGCCGAGTAGGGCTATATTAAGGCTATATCTAAGCAATAAGGCCCGAGGAGGTGTGGTATATAGCCAATATACCACGGCTAAGTGCCTGGACACAGCCATTAGCCATGGGATATTGGCCATATACCGCAAACCCCCGAGGTGCCTTATGGCTATTATAAACTGGTTACCAACGTAATTAGAACAGTAAAAAAAAAAAAATAACAACATTGTAACCAGTTTATAATAGCAATAAGGCACCTCAGGGGTTTGTGATATATGGCCAATATACAACGGTAAAGGGCTGCATTGCATCATGCGTAAGAACAGCCTTTAGCCGTGGTATATTGGCCATATAACACAGCTCCTTGGGCATTATTGCTTAAATTTAACACGGCTTTCAGCCAATCAGCATTCAGGGCGCAAACCACACAGTTTATAATAGCTGTCAGAGTACAGCCTACAGTCAGGGTCTAGTTCAGTGAAGTGCAGGGTCATCAGAGTCCGGCCTGGGAGGGAGTGATGTGCCTTTGCTGCTTCTGCAGCCAGAGATACTGGATATAATGACGAGATGCTTGTGTCTCCACCCTAACAATTGGATTCGATGTCCACAGAGTGGAATGGCGGGCTGTCAAGCTCCCGCCTACTACTCTCTTTGGATTGGTGGATACATCTCGTTATTTTGCATCTAGAAATGTGCATCCTGTAGCACTAACTCCAAAATGGAGAATGGAGAATAAGAGCACCTCCTCCCAGCTGCCCACTGCACTGAGGCTAGGAAACACTGTCACCACCGATAAATCTACGATAATCGAGAATTTCAATAAGCATTTTGCTACGGCTGGCCATGCTTTCCACCTGGCTACCCCTACCCCGGCCAGCTGCAACTTGCCCATGCCCCCCCCCCCCGCTTCTCCTTCATCCAAATTCAGATAGCTGATGTTCTGAAAGAGCTGCAAAATCTGGACCCCTACAAATCAGCTGGGCTAGACAATCTGGACCCTTTCTTTCTAAAATTAGCCGCTGAAATTGTAGCAACCCCTATTACTAGCCTGTTCAACCTCTCTTTCGTATCATCTGAGATCCCCAGAGATTGGAAAGCTGCCGCGGTCATCCCCCTCTTCAAAGGGGGTGACACTCTAGATCCAAACTGTTACAGACCTATATCCATCCTGCCCTGCCTATCGAAAGTATTTGAAAGCCAAGTTAACAAACAGATCACCGTCCATTTCGAATCCCACCGTACCTTCTCTGCTATGCAATCTGGTTTCCGAGCTGGTCATGGGTGCACCTCAGCCACGCTAAAGGTCCTAAACGATATTATATACCGCGATCGATAAAAGACAGTACTGTGCAGCTGTCTTCATCAACCTGGCCAAGGCTTTCGACTCTGTCAATCACCGCATTCTTATTGGCAGACTAAATAGCCTTCGTTTCTCAAATGACTGCCTCGCCTGGTTCACCAACTACTTCTCAGATAGAGTTCAATGTGTCAAATCGGAGGGCCTGTTGTCTGGACTTCTGGCAGTCTCTATGGGGGTGCCACAGGGTTCAATTCTCGGGCCAACTCTATTCTCTGTGTATATCAATGATGTCGCTCTTGCTGCTGGTGACTCTCAGATCCACCTCTATGCAGACAACACCATTTTGTATACATCTGGCCCTTCATTGGACACTGTGTTAACAAACCTCCAAACGAGCTTCAATGCCATACAACACTCGTTCCATAGCCTCCAACTGCTCTTAAACACTAGTAAAACTAAATGTATGCTCTTCAATCGAATGCTGCTTGCACCCGCCTGCCCGACTAGAATCACTACTCTCGATGGGTCTGACTTAGAATATGTGGACAACTACAAATACCTAGGTGTCTGGTTAGACCGTAAACTCTCCTTCCAGACTCACATTAAGCATCTCCAATCCAAAGTTAAATCTAGAATCTGCTTCCTATTTCGCAACAAAGCCTCCTTCACTCATGCTGCCAAACATGCCCTCGTGAAACTGACTATCCTACCGATCCTTGACTTTGGCGATGTCATTTACAAAATAGCCTCCAACACTCTACTCAGCAAATTGGATGTAGTCTATCACAGTGCCATCTGTTTTGTCACCAAAGCCCCATATACTACCCACCATTGTGACCTGTACGCTCTCGTTGGCTGGCCCTCACTACATATTCGTCGCCAAACCCACTGGCTCCAGGTCATCTATAAATCACTTCTAGGCAAATCCCCGTCTTATCTTAGCTCATTGGTCACCATAGCAACACCCACCCGTAGTATGCGCTCCAGCAGGTATATCTCACTGGTCATCCCCAAATCCAACACCTCCTTTGGTCGCCATTCCTTCCAGTTCTCTGCTGCTAATGACTGGAACGAACTGCAAAAATCTCTGAAGCTGGAGACTCTTATCTCCCTCACTAACTTTAAGCATCAGTTGTCAGAGCAGCTTACCGATCACTGCACCTGTACACAGCCCATCTGTAATTAGCCCACCCAACTACCTCATCCCCATATTGTTATTTATTTTGCTCATTTGTACCCCAGTATCTCTATTTGCACATCATCTTCTGCACATCTATCATTCCAGTGTTAATACTAATATTGTAATTATTTTGCACTATGGCCTATTTATTGCCTTACCTCCAAAACGTACTACATTTGCACACACTGTATATATATTTTCTATTGTGTTAATGACTGTATTTGTTTTATCCCATGTGTAACTCTGTGTTGTTGTTTTTATCGCACTGCTTTGCTTTATCTTGGCCAGGTCACAGTTGTAAATGAGAACTTGTTCTCAACTGGCTTACCTGGTTAAATAAAGGTGGAAAAAATACAAAACACTTTTTGGAATATTCTATGAGGGGTGTTGACGTATTACATTGAGAGTGAGATGCTATGCTAGCCTCATGAATACGCATAGATCATCTTGAATTTCAACAGGGACAACTCCGATATAAAGTGTTTTTTCTCACCTGCATCACACTTATATAAGTACACTCGTAACAACCTAATCATTACCAAACGTCTGCTCGATCAAATAAGCCTCACGTGTCAAAATAACAACATCTTGACTAAATTCAACACTCTCTCATTGCCCCCCATACAAAAACTCCTCACTTGGCAGTCTACCAAGTTATTTTCACTTGGAAAGATTTTGCAATGAGTAAAACCTCTCACTCCGCCTCTTCCTCTCCGCTGCAGCTCAGTCAGGACCAGGAAGTGATGTGAGAGAAGGCGATGTCAGAGAAATGGCCCAAAAAATGATTTTTAAAAAGAGTGAGAAAGAAGTTACTGAGACTGTGCATCTCTCTCTCTCTCTCTCTCTCTCTCTCTCTCTCTCTCTCTCTCTCTCTCTCTCTCTCTCTCTTTCTCTCTCTCCAGTCTGCCCATTTCTTTGACATGATGGAGAAAATGGAGGTAAGCATGGAACTCCTGTCGTCTGTGTCTGTCTGATTAATAACCCAGAATCCTCCAGGTGACAACCGAACTGATGATAAGGTCATGGGTCAAAGGTTACCATGAGGTCATCAGGGGGTTCATGACCTTGGACACTTCCCAGAATGCATTGAGTCAGTCATTATATATAGCAACAAGGTTTCAGAACCACTCATTCTACACTCTTACTACTATGCTTTTAATATTCTCTTATTTGTGCTTTCTAACTCCTACAACCCTTATTCTCATAAATTACAACTCCAAACATCTCACCCTCATAAATATCCAACATCCTTTCCCTAAACCTCTATCCCTTACATCCTAACCCCCTGCCTCCAAATCCCACCATACCCACCTACCCAACCCCCCAACCCTCTGCCTCTGACCTCTAACATCTACCCCATACATTGCACGTATAACCCCTAACCCCCCTAAGCAGGTACCAGAGGTAGCAGAGAAAACAGTGGCTGGTCCTCAGAGACTGAAGGTGTGGACAGCATGTCTGTCTGTCCTCATATCCATCCGTTCACTGAATATACTGTATATAGTGGAAATATACCCATAGTCATTCATACCCTCTTTATTTACAAACTCATGTTCTGTGTTGTCATGAATTCATTTCGGCAGTCTTTATCTCATTCACCCCTGATTTGACAAGTCAAGTGAAATTCATTTGCGCTTTTAGTTCAGACAGTAATGCATGTGAGTTTGCTTGTCTTTGTGGTGTAAAAACATAAAGCACTAATTTATTCATACTACATTTTTACAAGAGAAAGACAAAAAACACCTCATGGTCATATTTATTTTGTGTCGAGCTCGTCTTGTCCTTTGTGTTAGCTGCTTTTCAAATCTTTGTACAGAGTACTGTGTGTGTGTGTGTGTGTGTGTGTGTGTGTGTGTGTGTGTGTGTGTGTGTGTGTGTGTGTGTGTGTTGTATGTAGAGCAGAACCTGATTCCACTCTCTCTTACAGGATGACTACATCCCATACCCCAGGATAGAGGAGGTACGTCAGCAAACTGATAACATGCAGACACACTGACACACTGACACACACACACACACACACACACAAATTGTTGTTTGTCCCTCCCCAGGTGCTGGAAAGGGGTGGTCCGTACCCCCAGGTGATCCTGCCGGAGTTTGGGGGATACTGGATCGAGGACCCTGACGCCCTCGTCCCCCCAACCCCTTCTCTGTGTGACAGGGGGGACGACGGAGGGGGAGGAGAAGGGGAAGAGGGGGACGCTGCCCAAGTGGGTTATGGGTACCGGCTGGAGAGTAACGACGCAGCACGTGCCTACAGGAAGCACTTCCTGGGCAAGGTCAGTGCCATGGCAACACATCACATTACCTTTTTCTCTGACCTGTAACATGTCAATAATTGAAATACTGTGCTGCCTAAAGTGCATCTCGAATCGCACCCTATGCCCTATATGCATTCAGAAAGTTTTCACACCACTTGACTTTTTCCACATTTTGTTGTGTTACAAAGTGAGATTAAAATTGATTTAATTGTCATTTTTTGTCAACGATCTACACAAAAGCCTGTAATGTTGGAAGTGGAATAGAAATTCTAACATTTGTAAAAAAAAAAAAAAAAAATGATTATCTTGATTAGATATTTATTCAACCACTGAGTCAATATAATCACCTTTCACACCTGGACTGTGCAGCATTTGGCCTTTATTCTTTTCAACATTCTTCAAGCTTGGTTGTTGATAATTGCTAGACAACCATTTTCTTGCCATAGATTTTCATGCAGATTTAAGTCAAAACTCTAACTCGGCCACTCACTTTATTCTGGGTAAGCAACTCCAGTGTAGATTTGGCCTTGCGTTTTAGGTTATAGTCCTGCTGAAAGGTAAATTCATCTCCCAGTGTCTGGTGGAAAGCAGACTGAACAAGGTTTTCCATCGTTTTGACTGTGCTTAGCTCAATTCAGTTTATTTTTCATCCTTAAAAACTCCCCAGTCCTTAACGATTACAAGCATACCCATAACATGATGCAGCCACCACTATGCTTGAAAATATGGACAGTGGTACTCAGTAATGTGTTGTATTGGATTTGCCCCAAACATAACACTTTGTATTCAGGACAAAAAGTGAATTGCTTTGCCACATTTTATGCAGTATTACTTTAGTGCCTTGTTGCAAACAGGATGCATGTTTTGGAATATTTGTATTATGTACAGGCTTCCTTCTTTTCAGTCTGTCAAGTAGGTTAGTATTGTGGAGTAACTACAATGTTGTTGATCCATCCTCAGTTTTCTCCTATCACTGCCATTAAACTCTGTAACTGTTTTAATGTCCCCATTGGCCTCATGGTGAAATCACTGAGTGGTTTCCTTCCTCTCCAACAACTGAGTTAGGAAGGACGCCTGTTTTTTTGTAGTGACTGGATGTATTGATACACCATCCAAAGTGTAATTAATAACTTCACCATACTTAAAGGGATATTCAATGTCTGCTTTTTCTTATTTTTACCCATCTACAAATAGGTGCCCTTCTTTGTGAGGCATTGGAAAACCTCCCTAGTATTTGTGGTTGAATCTGTGTTTGAAATTCACTGCTCGGCTGAGGGACCTTACAGATAATTGTATGTGTGGGGTACAGAGATGAGATAGTCATTACAAAATCATGTTAAACACTATTACGGCACACAGAGTGAGTCCATGCAACTTATTATTGTCACGATCGTCTTGAAGCGAAGTAGACCAATGCGCAGCGTGTTGAGCGAACATGATACTTTATTATATTAAAGCACAAAACCAAAACAATAAACGACTCGTGAAGTCCACGGTGACAAAGACCGACAAGGAACAAAAACCCACAAACACAAAGTGAAACACAGACAGTTAAATATGGCTCCCAATCAGAGACAACCAGCACACAGCTGACACTCGTTGCCTTGATTGGAGTCACTCAGTCAAACATAGAAAATGACGAACTAGAACACCCAACATAGAAACAGAACACATAGAATGAACACACCCTGGCTCAACATATAGAGTCCCAGAGCCAGGGTGTGACAGTACCCCCCCCTAAAGGCGCGAACTGCGACCGCGCCTAAATACGAGCAAAACAGGGGAGGGCTGGGTGGGCATTCCTCCTCGGTGGCGGCTCCGGCTCCGGGCTTGCCCACCACCCTCCAACAAACCCCTCATAGCGCCCCTGGTCCGGTCTGGCCCCGCTGGCTGGAGCTGGACTGGACGTAGCAGGAGCGGTAGGCTTCAGCTCCTTAGTGGAGCAGTTGAGCGGTACCTGAATTGGCACCGATGACCCAGGCACGGGTTGTGCCGGACTGACGACTCGCACCCCTGGCTTGGTGCGAGTGGCAGGAACGAGCCGGGCCGGGCTGGCGACGCGCACCGTAGACTTGGTGCGAGTGGCAGGAACAGGCCGGACCGGGCTGGCGACGCGCACCGTAGACTTGGTGCGTGGAGCAGGGACAGGCCGGGCCGGGCTGGCGACGCACCCCGTAGGCTTGGTGCGTGGAGCAGGGACAGGCCGGGCTGGGCTGGCGACGCACACCGTAGGCTCGGTGCGTGGAGCAGGAACAGGCCGGACTGGGCTGGCGATGCACACCGTAGGCTTGGTACGTGGAGCAGGGACATGCCGGGCCGGGCTGGCGACGCACCCCGTAGGCTTGGTGCGTGGAGCAGGGACAGGCCGGACCGGGCTGGCGACGCACACCGTAGGCTTGGTGCGTGGAGCAGGAACAGGCCGGGCTGGGCTGGCGACGCACACCGTAGGCTTGGTGCGTGGAGCAGGGACAGGCCGGGCCGGGCTGGCGACGCACCCCGTAGGCTTGGTGCGTGGAGCAGGGACAGGCCGGGCTGGGCTGGCGACGCACACCGTAGGCTTGGTGCGTGGAGCAGGGACAGGCCGGACTGGGCTGGCGACGCACACCGTAGGCTTGGTGCGAGTGGCAGGAACAGGCCGGGCCGGGCTGGCAACGCACCCCGTAGCCTTGGTGCGTGGAGCAGGGACAGGCCGGGCTGGGCTGGCGACGCACACCGTAGGCTTGGTGCGTGGAGCAGCAACTGGCCGGACTGGGCTGGCGACGCACACCGTAGGCTTGGTGCGAGTGGCAGGAACAGGTCGGGCCGGGCTGGCGACGCACACCGTAGGCTTGGTGCGAGGGGCAGGAACATGCCGGGCTGGGCTGGCGGCGTGCACCTTACACTTAGTACGGGAAGCAGGAACGGGCCGGACCGGACTGGTGACGCACACCACTTGCTTGGTGTGAGGAGCGGGACTGGGTTTCGTCATAACCCCCCGCTCCCTCAGCTGCCTACCGAGTTCCTCTCGCCGTGCCTCATTTCTCACCCTTTCCCTTATCGCCTCCAAATGCTCCATCCTCTGCAACACTACCTCCTGCTCCCTCGTCGTCCCTGCCGTGTGCCCCCCCCTAAAATTTTTTTGGGGTTGCCTCTCGCCTGTCCGACGTTGACCCTGCTGACGCCGCTGCTCCTCTCTCCGTCGCCTCTCCACCGTCTCACTCCATGGCCGGCGATCCATCCCGGCCAGGATCTCCTCCCAGGTCCAGGACCCTTTCCCGTCTAATATCTCCTCCCATGACCAGGCTGCCTGCTCCTGGACACGCTGCTTGGTCCTGGATTTGTGGGTTTTTCTGTCACGATCGTCTTGAAGCGAAGTAGACCAATGCGCAGCGTGTTGAGCGAACATGATACTTTATTATATTAAAGCACAAAACCAAAACAATAAACGACTCGTGAAGTCCACGGTGACAAAGACCGACAAGGAACAAAAACCCACAAACACAAAGTGAAACACTGACAGTTAAATATGGCTCCCAATCAGAGACAACCAGCACACAGCTGACACTCGTTGCCTCTGATTGGGAGTCACTCAGTCAAACATAGAAAATGACGAACTAGAAACACCCAACATAGAAACAGAACACATAGAATGATCACACCCTGGCTCAACATATAGAGTCCCAGAGCCAGGGTGTGACAATTATGTGACTTGTTAAGCAAATATTTACTCCTAAACTTATTTAGGCTTGCCATAACAAAGTGGTTGAATACTTATTGACTCAAGACAATTATGAAAAACATAATTCCACTTTGACATTATAGGGTACTGTGTGTAGGCCAGTGACAACAAATGTAAATGTAATCCATTTAAAATTCTGGCTGTAACACAACAAAATGTGTGAATACTTTCTGAAGGCACTGTAGTGCCCTACTTTTGACCAGAGCCCTATGGGTCTTATACTTTCTGGCAATGTATCACATTTTGACCATTCTGTCTGACTTTGTAGAGTATAAACACTTTCACTGTCCTATTCTTTCAGTGTTACATACTTTTTTTGATTGTCTGTCTGTCTCCTATAAACGCTGTCCTATTCCCTCTCTATGTGATAGGAGCACTTGAATTTTTACTGCGTGGCCAGTAGTCATGGCAACCTCATTATGTCTGTGAAACACGAGGAAGTGAAGGGTCAGGAGTATCTACACGTCATCCTCAGGTAAGAACACAACACACCTTAACACACCTGACCACTCCTTAACACAACTGACCATTACACACCGTTTGTGACTGCCCACACTTAACATGAGTAAGAAATACATACACAAGTTTTAAAAAATAAAATAAAAATATTTATATATTTGTCACATGCGCCAAAACGACAGGTGTAGACCTTACTGTGAAATGCTTACTTACAAGCCCTTAACCAACAATGCAGTTTTAAGAAAAATATATACTAAATAAATTAAAGTAAAAAAATAAAAGAGCAACAATAAAATAACAATAACGAGGCTATATACAGGGGGTACCGGTACCGAGTCAATGGGCGGGGGTACAGGTTAGTCAAGGTAATTGAGGTAATATGTACATGCAGGTAGGGGTAAAGTGACTATGCATAGATAATAAACAGCGAGTAGCAGCAGCATAAAAAAAGGGGGGGAAGGGAGGAGCAATGCAAATAGTCCGGGTAGCCATTTGATTAGCTGTTCAGCAGTCGTATGGCTTGGGGATAGAAACTGTTAAGAAGCCTTTTGGATCTAGACTTGGCACTCCGGTACCGCTTGCCGTGCGGTAGCAGAGAGAACAGTCTATGACTAAGGTGGCTGGAGTCTTTTCGCAATTTATAGGGCTTTCCTCTGACACCGCCTGGTATAGAGGTGCTGGATGGCAGGAAGCTTGGCCTCAGTGATGCTTGGCCTCTGTAGCGCCTTGCGGTCGGAGGCCAAGCAGTTGCCATACCAGGCGGTGATGCAACCAGTCAGAATGCTCTCGATGGTGCAGCTGTAGAACCTTTTGAGAATCTGAGGACTCATGCCAAATCTTTTCAGTCTCCTGAGGGCAAATAGGTGTTGTCATGCCCTCTTCACGACTGGTGTGTTTGGACCATGATAGTTTGTTGGTGATGTGGACACCAAGGAACTTGAAGCTCTCAACCTGCTTCACTACAGCCCCGTCGATGAGAATGGGGGCGTGCTTGGTCCTCCTTTTCCTGTAGTCCATGATCATCTCCTTTGTCTTGATCACGTTGAGGGAGAGGTTGTTGTCCTGGCACCACACTGCCAGGTCTCTGACCTCCTCCCTACAGGCTGTCTCATCGTTGTTGGTGATCAGGCCTACCACCGGTTTCGTCTGCAAACTTAATGATGGTGTTGGAGTCGTGCTTAGCTACGCAGTCATGGGTGAACATGGAGTACAGGAGGGGACTAAGCACGCAACCCTGAGAGGCCCCCTTGTTGAGGATGAGCGTGGCGGATGTGTTGTTGCCTACCCTTACCACCTGGTGGCGGCCCGTCAGGAAGTCCAGGATCCAGTTGCAGAGGGAGGTGTTTAGTCCCAGGGTCCTTAGCTTAGTGATGAGCTTTGAGGGCACTATGGTGTTTAACACTGAGCTGTAGTCAATGAACAGCATTCTCACGTAGGTGTTCCTTTTGTCCAGGTGGGAAAGGGCAGTGTTGAGTGCAATAGAGATTGCATCGTCTGTGGATCTGTTGGGGCGGTATGCAAATTGGAGTGGTCTAGGGTTTCTGGGATGATGGTGTTGATGTGAGCCATGACCAGCCTTTCAAAGCACTTCATGGCTACAGATGTGAGTGCTACGGGTTGGTAGTCATTTAGGCAGGTTACGTTGGTGTTCTTGGGCACAGGGACTATGGTGGTCTGCTTGAAACATGTAGGTATTACAGACTCGGCCAGGGACAGGTTGAAAATGTCAATGAAGACACTTGTCACTTGGTCAGTGCACGCTCAGAGTACACGTCCTGGTAATCTATCTGGCCCTGCGGCCTTGTGAATGTTGACCTGTTTAAAGGTCTTACTCACATCAGCTACGGCGAACGTGATCACACAGTCGTCCGGAACAGCGGGTGCGCTCATGTATGCTTCAGTGTTGCTTGCCTCGAAGTCGCATAGAAGTCATTTAGCTCGTCTGGTAGGCTTGTGTCACTGGGCAGCTCGCGGCTGGGCTTCCCTTTGTAGTCCATAATAGTTTGCAAGCCCTGCCACATCGACGAGCGTCGGAGCCGGTATAGTAGGATTCAATCTTAGTCCTGTATTGATGCTTTGCCTGTTTGATGGTTTGTCTGAGGGCATAGCGGGATTTCTTATTATTTCCGGGTTAGAGTCCCGCTCCTTGAATGTGGCAGCTCTACCCTTTAGCTCAGTGAGGATGTTGCATGTAATCCATGGCTTCTGGTTGGGGTATGTAGTACGTACGGTCACCGTGGGGACAACGTCATCGATGCACTTATTGATGAAGCCGGTGACTGATGTGGTATACTTCTCAATGCCATTGGATGAGTCCCGGAACATATTCCAGTCTGTGCTAGCAAAACAGTCCTGTAGCTTAGCATCTGCGTCATCTGACCACTTCCGTATTGAGCGAGTCACTGGTACTTCCTGCTTTAGTTTTTGCTTGTAAGCAGGAATCAGGAGGATAGAATTATGGTCGGATTTGCCAAATGGAGGGCGAGAGAGAGCTTTGTACGCATCTCTGTGTGTGTAGTAAAGGCTGTCTAGAGGTTTTTTTCCTCTGGTTACACATGTAACATGCTGGTAGAAATGAGGTAAAACGGATTTACGTTTCCCTGCATTAATGTCCCCGGCCACTAGGAGTGCCACCTCTGGAATAGCATTTTCTTGTTTGCTTATGGCTTTATACAGCTCGTTGAGTGCGGTATTAGTGCCAGCATCGGTTTTGTGGTGGTAAATAGACAGCTACGAAAAATATACATGAAAACTCTCTTGGTAAATAGTGTGGTCTACAGCTTATGAGATACTCTACCACAGGCGAGCAAAACCTTGAGACTTCCTTAATATTTGATTTTGCGCACCAGCTGTTATTGTCAAATAGACACAGACCGCCACCCCTTGTCTTACCGGAGGCATCTGTTCTGTCTTGCCGATGCATGGAAATACCAGCCAACTGTATATTATCCATGTCGTTGTTCAGCCACGACTCAGTGAAACATAAGCTATAAAAAAATCGTATGTCCCGTAGTTAGGATAGTCTTGAAATGAGCTCATCCAGTTTATTCTCCAATGATTGCACGTTGGCCAATAGGACGGATGGTAGAGGCGGGTTACCCACTTGGATCTGCGTCCCCTGTATCGGCGTCTTTTCTTAATGCGAATGACGGGGATTTGGGCCTGGTCTTGTATCTGGAGTAAATCATTCGCGTCCGACTCTTTAAAGAAAAAATCTTTGTCCAGTTCGAGGTGAGTAATTGCTGTTCTGATATCCAGAAGCTCTTTTCAGTCATAAGAGACAGTGGCAGAAACATCATGTACAAAATAAGTTATAATCAACGTGAAAAAACACACAAAATAGTACAATTGGTTAGGAACCCGTAAAACGGCACCATCTCCTCCAGCGCCATTATCAGAGTATTTGAGATCATTTTGATCTCTAACACTGTCATTTTCATCTCTCTCTCTCTCTCCTCTCTCTCTCTCTCTCTCTCTCTCTCTCTCTCTCTCTCTCTGTCAGGTCAAGGATGAAGACAATGTATGATAGGATCTCTCTAGCAGAACTTCCTGAGCTGCCTAGTGTCCCTCACCTAGCCAAGGTAACCAAACCACTACACAATTACTACAGAAACCACAGGGGACCACCATATTTTTGGAGGATTTGGCAAACTATGAATATTGTTGAATTATCTCGGTTCATTGAGATAAGATCTAGCTATGTACAGTGTACATACCTTCCTAACTATATGTTGTGTGCTTCGGTGTGTTCATAACTTGTTGTGTGTTCAGCTGCTGTGTGAGGATGCTGTTGGTCTCCGGTTCAGTCCAGTTCTGTATCCCAAGGTGAGCTCAACTTCAGATACACACAAATACACGCAGTGTATCACATCATGACCAATAACTGCTATAAGTGATTACTCTGTGTATTTACCAGGCCTCCCAGCTTATAGTAAGCTATGATGAACATGAGGTGAACACCACCTTCAAGTTTGGGGTCATCTACCAGAGGTTTGGACAGGTGAGTTTTGCTCTGTGTGTGTATTGGAGTTTAGCTATGCTGTTTGGGTTTTAATAAAAAAAACAATCTCACACTATTTTCTCTTTCTCAATGTCTGTCTGTCAGGTTTCGGAGGAGGAGTTGTTTAGAAACAGTGAGGAGACGCCAGCCTTCACTGAGTTCCTCAGTTTACTGGGAGAGACTGTAGACCTACAGGACTTTAAAGGGTAAGAGAGAGAGGGACGGGGTGTTAAAAACAGACAGAGAGAGAGAGAGACAGAGAGGGTTATAGAACCCATTGCCCTTTATGGTTTGGAGGTCTGGGGTCCGCTCACCAAGAATTTGAATTCACAAAATGGGACAAACACCTAATTGAGACTGCATGCAGAATTCTGCAAAAATATCCTCTGTGTACAATGAAATACACCAAATAATGCATGCAGAGCAGAATTAGGCCGATACCCACAAATGATCAAAATCCAGAAAAGAGCCGTTCAATTCTACAACCACCAAAAAGGTAGTGATCCCCAAACCTTCCATAACAAAGCCATCACCCACAGAGAGATTAACTTGGATAATAGTCTCCTAAGCAAGCTGGTCCTGGGGCTCTGTTCACAAACACAAACAGACCCCACAGCGCCCCAGAACAACAACAACAACATAATTAGACCCAACCAAATAATTGAGAAAGGCCGCCGTAGGCAGACCTGGCTCTCAAGAGAAGACAGGCTATGTGCACACTGCCCACAAAATGAGGTGGAAACTGAGCTGCACTTCCTAACCTCCTGCCAAATGTATGACCATATTAGAGACACATATTTCCCTCAGATTACAGAGACCCACAAAGAATTCGAATAAACAAACCCAATTTTGATAAACTCCCATATCTTTTGGGTGAAAAACCACAGTGTGCCATCACAGCAGCAAGATTTGTGACCTGTTGCCACAAGAAAAGGGCAACCAGTGAAGAACAAACACCATTGTAAATACAACCCATATTTATATTGATTTATTTTCCCTTTTGTACTTTAACTATTTGCACATCATTACAACACTGTATATAAACATCATATGACATTTGAAATGTCTTTATTTTTTTTTTACTTTTGTAAGTGTAACGTTTACTGTTCATTTTTATTGTTCACTTTTATTTATCTACTTCACTTGCTTTGGCAATGTTAGCATATGTTTCCCATGCCAAAAAAGCCCTTAAATTGAATTTAATTGAATTGAGAGACAGAGATATATATATATATATATATATATATAATAGGAAAGAGGGGTGGGGGAGAGACTGAGGAAGAAAGAGAGAGAGAATGGGGGTTGACGGTGAGAGGTAAAGAAATGAGAGGTTAAGAATAACACAGGCTCTAATCCTAACCCCCTGTTCCTCCTCTCCCTGTCCCTGTAGCTTCCGTGGTGGTCTGGACGTATGTCATGGTCAGACAGGTTCACAGTCAGTCTACACAGACTACAGAGAACAGGAGATCATGTTCCACATCTCTACCAAGCTGCCCTACACAGAGGGAGACACGCAACAGGTACACACACACACACACCTAAAATCCTACACGTAACAGCACACACCTTTCTGAAAGCGTATGGTTACTTGCATAACCCCGGTTCTCTGATAAAATGAGTGAGATGTACACATGTGGGGGTTCGCTAGGACTGCCTACTCCCTCTGTAAAAAAGGCAGGCCTTTTCAACCTGATTGGCAGCCCTGTCAGTCACCATTCACACCCCTGTTCATCCAACCAATCAGGGCGCTTGAATGCGCTGCAGGACTCCGGCTCCCCTCACCTCTAGTTAGTGCATATTTTGCCATGGCAAGAGAAGCAAATAGTTGTGTTGCTGACAGACTTTCACATGTTGTTCCTAACTGAAATGTTGTGCATCCATTGATATGTAAGTGTTGAGAATTGTGTATATTGTGTTGTGCAACGCCTGTCCTGTGCAAGACTAGGCCTACTTGTCAGGTTTAAGAGTTTGAGTGAAGTTTGTTATGGTTAGCTTGTAGCTAATGCTAGTGTTTGTACATGCATGCATTTGTATTGCCATTTCATTAGGCTACTGCATTTCTACATGTGTATTAAGTGTTTCCAGTTCAAGTGTCAATAACACATGCTACCACTACTGTTATTAGCAGGCTGCCATCACATACAGTTGAAGTCGGAAGTTTACATACACCTTAGCCAAATACATTTAAACTCAGTTTTTCACAATTCCTGACATTTAATCCTAGTAAAAATTCCCTGTCTTAGGTCAGTTTGGATCACCACTTTATTTTAAGAATGTGAAATGTCAGAATAATAGTAGAGAGTGATTTATTTCAGCTTTTATTTCTTTCATCACATTCCCAGTGGGTCAGAAGTTTACATACACTCAATTAGTATTTGGTAGCATTGCCTTTAAATTGTTTAACTTGGGTCAAACGTTTCGGGTAGCCTTCCACAAGCTTCCCACAATAAGTTGGGTGACTTTTGGCCCATTCCTCCTGACAGAGCTGGTGTAACTGAGTCAGGTTTGTAGGCCTCCTTGCTCGCACACACTTTTTCAGTTCTGCCCACAAATGTTCTATAGGATTGAGGTCAGGGCTTTGTGATGGCCACTCCAATACCTTGACTTTGTTGTCCTTAAACCATTTTGCCACAACTTTGGAAGTATGCTTGGGGTCATTGTCCATTTGGAAGGCCCATTTGCGACCAAGCTTTAACTTCCTGACTGATGTCTTGAGATGTTGCTTCAATATATCCACATAATTTTCCTTCCTCATGATGCCATTATTTTGTTAAGTGCACCAGTCCCTCCTGCAGCAAAGCACCTCCACAGCATGATGCTGCCACCCCCATGCTTCACGGTTGGGATGGTGTTCTTCGGCTTGCAAGCTCCCCCTTTTCCTCCAAACATAACGATGGTCATTATGGCCAAACAGTTCTATTTTGGTTTCATCAGACTAGAGGACAGTTCTCCAAAAGGTACGATCTTTGTCCCCTTGTGCAGTTGCAAACCGTAGTCTGTCTTTCTTATGGCGGTTTTGGAGCAGTGGCTTCTTCCTTGCTGAGCGGCCTTTCAGGTTATGTCGATATAGAACTCGTTGTACTGTGGATATAGATACTTTTGTACCTGTTTCCTCCAGCATCTTGACAAGGTCCTTTGCTGTTGTTCTGGGATTGATTTGCACTTTTCGCACCAAAGTACGTTCATCTCTAGGAGACAGAACTCGTCTCCTTCCTGAGCGGTATGACAGCTGCGTGGTCCCATGGTGTTTATACTTGCGTACTATTGTTTGTACAGATGAACGGAATTGTGATACAGTGAATTATAAGTGAAATAATCTGTCTGTAAACAATTGTTGGAAAAATTACTTGTCATGCACAAAGTAGATGTCCTAACCGACTTGCCAAAACTATAGTTTGTTAACAAGAAATGTGTGGAGTGGTTGAAAAAACGAGTTTTAATGACTCCAACCTAAGTGTATGTAAACTTCCGACTTCAACTGTAGTTTCTGGAACTTTCCAGCCCTATCGAGCCTGTTCTCGTGTACCCATGGCTCAATAGCCATGGCTTCAGATAACATATAGCCCTAGTTAGGCCAGAGAGAGTGCCATACATTTTAATGAGGCCCTTTATGTCTCTCTCTCTCTTATTCTCTCTCTCTCTCTTCTCTCTCTCTCTCTATCTCTCTATCTCTATCTCTCTCTCTCTCTCTCTATACTCTCTCTCTCTCATCTCTCTCTCTCTCTCTCTCTCTTCTCTCTCTCTCTCTCTCTCTCTCTCTCTCGATCTCTGGTGACATGCTTGTCCTAGTAATTATACAATGACTATGAGGTTAAAGCTTTCATTTGGTAGCATTTTCCTCCATTTCAGGTGAACCATTTAGCAATTACAGCACTTTTTGTACAAAGTCCCCCCATTTTAGGGGAACAAAAGTATTGGGACAAATTCACTTACATGTGTATTAAAGACCTCAAAAGTGTAATATTTGGTCCCATATTCCACACAGCATACTAGCACGCAATGATTACATCAAGCTTGTGACTCTACAAACTTGTTGGATGCATTTGCTGTTTGTTTCGGTTGTGTTTCAGATTATTTTGTGCCCAATAGAAATTAATGTTAAATAATGTATTGTGTCATTTTGGAATCACTTGTATTGTAAATAAGAATAGAATATGTTTCTAAATACTTCTCCATTAATGTGGTTGCTACCATGATTACGGATAGTCCTGAATGAATTGTGAATAATGATGAGTGATAAAGTTACAGATGCACAAATATCATACCTCCCCTGTTATTGTAATGGTTAGAGGGGGTATGATATTTGTGCATCTAACTTTCTCACTCATCATTATTCAGAACTATCCAGAATCTTAGTAGCATCCACATTAATCAAATTAGCATCATAAAAAAAGTCCCCATCAAAATCTGTCTGTTTAAGATAGCGATATAAGTTTTTTTGCATGGGCTGCATCTCAATCCACCACATCCGCCAATGGCGGCCTTCCACATCCGCAGTGGAAGGTGACGAGCTAAAGCGGTTTTTGTCAGCCAATGGGACATCCCGAAAATGTCTTCTCACCAAAACGTCTCCGAACGGTTTGGCCTACAAAACTAATATGACCACTCTATGGAAAGATTACTCTCGTCTGAAGGTAGCCCGGTACCAGTTTTAAAAAAAATGATGGAAGTATACACTGAGTGTACAAAACATTAAGAACACCTTCCTAATATTGAGTTGCAGATGACAACAGAAGTGCAACGCTATTTGGCTGGCAGCCACACAAGTAAATGAGCTTACAATGAAAAAGCAAGGTATCTTTTTGCTGAAACGATGCATGGCCATCATATTTCTGTTTATCATAGAAAGAATGTTGTCAGCTACATTTCCTAATGTTTTTCTTAAAGTGAATCTAGCATTTTACCAGAGAAAAGTAGGCTGGCTACACCGAGAGAAGTACCGGATAAAAGTAGCTACATATCAGTCAGAGCACTGTCTGCTGATAGAATGCCTGTTTGTGAATTCTCATCCGAGTAGAGAAGTGCAACTGAAGCACAAAATGAATCTGATGCCCAGCAGAAATCACAATAAGAAGCATTTTAGTTGTGCGTTTACAAAACGCAGCAAGTTATTTCTTATGCGTTTTAAAAAAAAAATTCTGCATGAAAAGCAAAGAATTTCTGCGTTAACGTGAACCCTAAGTTTAACTTGCTAGTAAGTAAGTGGCTGAATTAATAAGGTGACGGGGCATCATATTGTGTTAACTTTCTGCCATGTTTGAGAAGTCAAAGCCCTTTGGATGAGTTACCTGTACAGCTGCCACTGCTATCTTTTGATTTCCTTGCATTTCGGCCCATCTGCTCCTCCTCCATCTTCTCAGAGCAGAGCAGGCAGGCCCGTTGCCCTTGCAACTCCAGACTCCACACAGACACAGAATGTACACATGCTGCTCCAGAGCCAGTACTGTTCTTCCTTAAGATAAGCATGCTTCAAAACTTGGTTTATTTGCACAATGTCTCTTGTTCACATTCGCTTGTAGATTTCCAAACTCACCAAAAATGACATTCGGTAGCTCCTACTATATATGTATAACTTTATGAGCCTGTCTTTGCAATTCGTTTATTTTCGTTTCCGCTCATTAGTATATTTAGCTAGCAGCCTCCATGGAAATGCTCTATTACTTGTGCTAATTTTGTTAACATTCTGGTAATAGACGCCCAATTGGTTGGGCGGCAGGTAGCTTAGTGGGTAAGAGCGTTGTGCCAGTAACCGAAAGGTCGCTGGTTCTAATCCCCGAGCCGACTAGGTGAAAAATATGTCGATGTGCCCTTAAGCAAGGCACTTAACCCTAATTGCTCATGTAAGTCGCTCTGGATAAGAGCGTCTGCTAAATGACTAAAATGTATGTAAAAATGTTATTTTGCGTGTTTTTGGCGCCCCCTTGTGTACGAAGCCGGTAATACCATACATCCCAGGATGAGAGAAGGGCGGTATGACGATATGAGTGGTGGCTCATTCTTGATACACACGGGAAACTGTTGACCATGAAAAACCCAGCAGCGTTGCAATTCTTGACACAAACAGATGTGCCTGATCATAGCCTTCACCTGGTCAGTCTGTCATGGAAAGAGCAGGTGTTTATAATGTTTTGTACACTCAGTGTATAGGGAAGTAGTTTAGTGCCCCCAAACATTTGTTAAATATGGCTAATTGTTTAAATAATAATTTCCTGATCTTTCTTATATCTCTCAGATATAGGACAGACACTTTAAAACAAACGTCCTTTTGATGTATTTTTTTACTATCTGTTTTCCCATGTATTAATCTGTTATTCAATGCGTTTCTATGGGCTAATAGCAGTAAAGCCAAATTCAATGTTTCATTAAATATTTTTTTCTGATACCTGAAGGGTTCCTAAAATTCTAAATCAAATAGCTAAATGATCCTTGGTATGACCACCTTAAAACAATTCCATATGTTAGCTTAGTTTATTCCTTCATTAGCATGTTTACTCCATATGTTTACACATCTCTCTACCTTTGCATATAGGCTTCTCATTATGCTTGTGTATCATTA